GGCCCGCGCCCGGACAGAGTCGCGGGGTTTGCCTACAAGCGCTTTATTTTTATTTTTTTAAAGAAGGGGATATTTTATCAGCGTAAAGGTCAGCGTCGCGGCAGCAGCAAAAAGGGACTCGTATTTCTTTCCTCCGCCTGGATGGAGAGAGGAGGCAACCCCAGTATCTCCCCACCCCCTTGCTACCTGGGTCTCCTTGGAAACAAAGCACGCGGGGCGGGGCGCGGCGGGAAGACCGGCCGGGACCCCTGGGGAGAACATCCGACGGAGTCAGCGTCGGGAAATCAGGTGGGCACCAGGGGCCTGGGCGCGGGGGTAAGGAGGCTGATTTTATGTACGCGCCTGAGGCTGCCAGCCGGGCGGTCCTGGCGCCTGCAGGGACAGACCTGGACGCTGTGCAACTGGGCGTTCGCCTCCCGCGTGCATCCTCGATGGCGGAGTTGGGAAGGAACTTTCACATCACCTTGCCTGGAAGGGTAAATAGTCCGTGTGCTGGGTGCACACGCTGGGCCACCTCTCGCCAGCCACAGAGGGACTGTGCTGTCGCGTGCCACGGCAGGGGGCACCTCGGGGACAGTGTAACTCAGAGAGGCCGAGCACACAGCTGCAGGTATCGCGGGTCTCTGGTTATCTAAAGGCGGAGAGCAGGGTAAGCTGAAGAGGCAAGTTGATCAGCGGTTTCACAGGGGTTGGACGGGGCTTGGGTGGGAGTCGTTGCAGTGCGTTTCAGTTCCTACCGAGGCGAGGAAACTATAATGCAATCAGACAGTGGTCATGATTACAAAACTTCGGGAGTATACCGAAACCCACCGAGTTACACATTTTAAAAGGGAGCATCTCACGGCATGTGAATTGTGTCTCGGTTTTTTAAACTGGAAGAGAAACATCAAATTCTTTTAGTTATTATTCATTCACACGGGGCAACAGATATAACTGAGGGCCTGCCGTAAGACATAGGCCACGCCAGAGGCGCGGCTGGTCCTTGCTGAGCTCACGGTTTTAGAAGTGGGAAGACAGATGATAATTTGAAAAGCAATACCTGGGCGTGGTGGCACACGTCCCAGCAATTCAGGGGGCTGAGGGTCGCGTGACCCCTAAGAGTGTGAGGCCAGCTTGGCGGCATAGCAAGACCCTGTCCCGAAAAACAAAACGGTAGCGACCTGGGCCGGCAGTTTCCTCCGAGGAGCTGCCCTACTGGGAAGTCCAGTTCAGGCGGGAAGACCCGCGGGGAGCAGCTGGTAGGGAAAACAGCGAGGAACTTATTTATACAAGCGAGCGATGTGAGTGTAAAGATGGTCACCAAGAGTGACTCCTTCGTCCCTTCCCCCGCCCGGTATGATCTGGGTCTCGGAGACCGCGGCCCTGGGTGAGACTGGGTGGGCGGCGGCCCCTTGAATCGTGCGTGGAGTTGTGGGTCCCCTGTGTGCCTTTCCCTGCAGGCTAAGTTCAGAGCTCTCGTGGCATTCTGCACCGTGCCACCTCTTCCAAAACGTCAGGAGCCTCAGCTCTTGATTTTACAAATCGTGTTTCTCTGGGTCTTTGTCTCTCATTGTACTTGGCTCAAAGCAGACAGATTAAAACTGAGCTTAATGCTAAAAGCAGAGGCTCCGGTTGGATTCTTAAACCAGAACCCACTAATTCCCAGGCTGAATGTAGAATGGGATTGTGTAGCGTCACATGAGGCGGCCTATAATCTCGTGAACAGTCTCCCTGCCTTAGGAAACTATATTTCAGTTTGGGCCAGGGTGACCATACTTCTCGATTACCTGGGGGAGTCTTGGTTTGTGTCTTTTCCCAATGACCTTTCTCTCTCTCCCTCTTTTCCAAGGTGAGGTCTCACGGTATTGCTCAGGCTGGCCTTGGACTCCTGGCCTCAAGCAATCCTCCTGCCTCAGCCTTGCTAATGTTGGGGCTGTAGGCATGCACCCAGCTTTCAGTGGGCTTATTGATTGCTCCTCTTCTTCATCCCCCTGAGTCTTACTTTGAACGATAAATGACATCGTCACCCTAGAATTTTGGCCAAATTGTATTTTTAAAAATCTTCACCTGTGCCAGGCATTGTGGCACACCTAACCTGAGCTACTCAGGAAGCTGAGGCAGGAGGAGCACAAGTCTGAGGCCAGGCTGACAACTTGGTGAGGCTTTGTCTCAAAATAAAAAGGGCTGGAGTTGTAGCTCAGCACTTCCTGCTTTCAAAATCCCCAATACCGTAAATACGAAACAAAACCCCTCACCTTGCAAATAAGTACTTTCCCAAGTTCCCTGGTTTGTATATATCTTCAGAGGAGTCCATAATATAGTTTTTGTTTAGTTTTGGTGATCTTTAATGTTTTTTCCAATTTTTATTTTATTTTATTTTTGTTCTGGGGAGTTAGCCCCAGCCTTGTGGATGTTAAGCAGGTGCCTGACCACGGGGCTATCCTCCCAGGCCTGGATATTTATTCTTGTTTTTTCTTTTTCTTTTTGGTTTTCTGAGACAGACTCTCCTCACAATGCAGTACAAGCTGGCCTTGAACTCACTATGTAGCCCAAGCCGGCCTGAAACTTGTGGTGATCCTCCTGCCTCAGCCTCCCAGGTCCTGTGATTACAAGATACTTATTCTTATTCAAGGCCATAGTGGCTATGAAGTAGAAGCAACTTTTATAACTGTAAGACTTACTGTAGACACATGATGGAGCTGTTCCAATGAGATTTTGTGCACACCTTGGTGGGTTTAACAGCGCTGTATCTGGGGATGAGTGAAAAGCAACAGAAGGAGAAATCAAGATGGGTACAAACCCCATTTCCCGTTTAAGTGTATCAGTGAAAACAGACATACCATCTGCCCATGCTGGGAAACAATCAGCAAGAAGATAATACCAGGCAATAAAACAAGTTTTCCTGTCAGTTTTTTCATAATAAAATTCTGAATGCATTCACCACAACAAAGCTAAAGTAACGTTTGTTAGTGGGAAAATTAGGCCAGGAACCGGTGTCGAACAAGCCTGAAATGTCCCGGACACTCCGTTTCTGTCATAATGGGCATCATTGATTAACTTGGCGAGATATTAGCTGCTGGACTAAGAGCTGAATGCCCAGAATCTTCTTCAGTCTTCCAAGCACGCCTCTTAGCTCCAGTTGCACTGGGGAAACCAAGGGGAAAAAGCTTCAGCTAACTCGCCTAGACCATCTCCCAGCTACCCGGCATCAAAGCCGCTCATCTGCCCGGCTCTGAAGCCCAGACACTCAGCCTGTAGGCAAATGTCCTTCAGAAGAAAACTTCCCTTCTGCAGGAGTGGGAACAAACTTGCTGAAACCCTGTGAGCCTTCCCCGACCGGAGCTCCTGGGAAAATTACTGCTTTTTAAATAGGATGTGAGGATTGCACTTGGGAGCTCTGGATGTAGCTCAGTGGTACAGCAGGTGTTTAGCATGCATGAGGCCCTGGGTTCAATCCCCAGCAGCACAAAAACAAAACACAATATATTACATTTGCATGAGAGGTTAGCTCATCTTTAACTCCCCCATATGTTGATATTGATTTATTCAAAACATATTCAAAAGATGTATATTGGCCAGGTGGTACGCAGCTGTAATCCCAGCACTTGGGAGGCTGAGGCAGGAGGATCATTGTGAGAGTAAGGCCAGCCTGGGATACAAACTGAGTTCAAGGCCAGCCTGAACTGCATAGGGAGACCCTGTCTGAAAAACCAAACAAACAGGGGCTGGGAATATAGCTCAGTGGCACAAGTGGCTGCCTGGTAAGCACAAGATCCTGAGTTTGATTCCCTGTACCAAAACAAAACAAACAAACAAATAAACAAACAAAACAGATATGCACTGGGTGGTAACATGATACCACTTCTCACTTTTTGCTATAATGTTTATTTTATTGAAATAAATGAGAAATTTAAACAAATATTAAATTGGTAACTTATTAAAATATGTCTACATAGATTTGTTATATTTTTCCGATCTTTTCTTTCCTTTCTTGCTTCCAGTTTCAATTTTTCTTTTATGTTCAGAAGCTAAATCTTTTTTTTTTTTTTTCATCTTTTTTGAGACAGGGTCTTACTATGCAGTTCAGCATAGTAAAACCTTATGCCATAGTAAGAGCTCATGCCTTGAGCTCACTGTGTAGCCCAGGCTGGCCTCGAACTTGCAACAATCCTCTTGCTTTAGCCGCCCCAGTGCTGGGATTATATGTGTGCGCCACCACACCCGGCTCAGAAGCTAAATCTTAACCTTTCTCCAAACTCAAAAATCTCTCCTCCCTCCCTTCCTTCTTTCATGTTTTTTGTTTTTGTTTTTGTTTTTACAGTGCTAGTGAAGGGGCCCCAGAGGCTCCCACATGCTTGGTGAGTCTGTTGCCATGGAGGTGCACCCCCCCCCAGCCCTCCCCATATTGACAAATGATCAAATAATGAGCTCAGTGCTCCACGGTCTCTCCAGGAATGTGGTGGTCCACACACAGGAGCCCTGCAGAAGCCGCATCTCTTGGATCAACTGCTCGTCTACACCTTGGTTAGCTTTCTGCTTCCACTTCACTCTCCGTTTTGCTTTCTTGGTTTTTCTCCGGTACTGGGAACCGAACTCACGACCTTGCGCTTGCCAGGTAGGCGCTTTGCGGCTGAGCTAAATCCCCAGCCCCTCCGTTTTGCTTTCTTGGTAGATTTTTCTATATTCTTGTAAATCATCTTCTGCCTTTGCTGGAATAAGCCACACCAATACATACATGAATTTTAAAAACTGAAAAATAACAAAATCACTGAATTAAACTTGCCTTGTACAAACACCAGAACTTTAACTTGGAGGAAAGTTTGTTTGAAGTAAACTGCATGCTTCGTTGCCTCCTGAACATATGGTGAATGATAAGCAGCCTTCACTTGAAGATTGAAACGCTCACTGTAACACTCACTGTTGCCTGCGTCCTGGGGGACCACCGAGTTGCCGCTAGCACCCATGGCCCTGGACTCCTGTACTTCTGCTGTTCTCCGTTCATTTATTGTTGAAGCTGTCCTCCATGGTTAGAAACCTTTTCTTCCTGCTAGCTGTTGTTCTTATTTAGTTTCTTTTAGGAACCAGAGCAGAAAAGAACATGAATTGTTTTAGTGGGGAAAAAAAATAAAAAGATTCTTAAAGACACACGGGCCCAGGAGTCCAGGGAAAACAGACCCAAAGGACGACCCAGCTGTGCCAACTTCCCTGGTCCCTCGGCACAAGGCACGCTCTTTTCTGGGCACTGTCCTTAGAAAAGTGACTGCGCAGAGGCCAAGGGCTGGGGGAGATGGCTCTCCCTTCTGCCGTAC